TGTATGTATGTATGTATGTATGTATGTATGTATGTATGTATGTATGTGTTGAACGCGTCTGGTGTAATCCATGTTCTGGATCGGAGTATTTATCCAGCTCTCTGGCATCAAATCAAGGTCAATGGGCCCAAACGATCCTTTATGGACCTTTTCAGGCTGAAGCCTCTGGGTCGATAGGTGCCGTAACTACGCACGGTTGCACAATCGACATGTGACCTGCCAAAGCTTTGTGCCTAGTGGCACGGTGAATTTGTGGAGGATTGGTTCACAGATTCTGGATGTTTCACTGGAAGCAAACATACTCCTTATCCTCCGGCTCCGGGATCCGCTCCATCCGTCCGAACTCGCGAAGCCAATCCCTCACCGCCTCAGAAAAAAGGACCTCTATTGGCCTTGAGATAGTTCTCCTAGAGTTTCGCAGCAAGTAGGTGTTCGGAACTTCATGAACTAAATTGAATGGAGTGGCCTTGCAACATCACCCAGCTCACAGTCTCATTTAGCCGGCAGACTTCTGCAACCATGAACAGCGCCACGCTTCCTGCAGCATCGGCCGCTGCATTCTTCACCACATCATGGAGCTGCGACAAGTCTAGGTCACCTGAAGCGGCACATGTCTTTCCTGTATCAGCCTGAACCACGAACCAACAGCCCCGGTACGTGTATGGATGCCAGGATTTCAGGAGTGTTTTCTCTTCTAGCTGTGTTTTCTCACACTTTGAGCCCACAGCAAAGCCTTGTGCCTGAACTTGCGACAGATTCTAACCTGGAGTCGCACAAGGTACAACTATATACATTATATGATGGACCATTATATGGACATACATAAAACATATATATATATGTGTGTATACACATATATTGTATTTTTATAATGATAAAGTATGATTAAGCTAATGTATCGAGTGATGCGGCCTTCTTCTGGCTGTATCTGCACAGAAGGTCCCTCAGTTGCAGGATAGCCATCAGGCAGCTCCACCAAGAGTTGCACACTGGCGTACCGAAAGCCTAGCAAGGGATGTAGGAGACTTTTCCAAGACATGCAAAAATCATTGCAAATCAATAGTCTTGCATAGGACAGGTAAATAAGTTTCGGGTTTCTTGTACTATTCATTTGGAAGGCAAACTGACCTTCAGGTATCAACATTTACAAATTTCTGGTTGCACAGTCTCATCTTTCCATCAGCGAGGTTGCAAAACAAAGGGTTGGAGTTCGGTTTTGAAAAGTTTGGGTCCCCAATTCATGTGTCCAAGGCCAGCTGCCTTCGCTATCCTCCTCAGGTGCAACATTAAGATTCAATTTGGAGCCATCCCAGTGGAAGTCGCTGCCAAAGATTCCTTCCAATGCCTGCGTCTGGTCTAGTGCAAACAAAGCCTCAAGCCGTGATAAAAAAGCTTCCAGCCAGGTATTTACCAACCAGTGGCAGGACTCCTTATTTCATACAATACCATGTTCATCCTATTTCCCCTGGGGCCCAGCAGACTTGGCGCTCACTGGGCGCCGTTGTATCCAAAAGTCCAGGTCCCAAGGCCAAGCAAGTTGCAACAATCTCGACCTCCCAGTACACTGCACTCCCCGATGTTACAGTGTTGCACGAGAACATCAATCCAAAGGTCTGGGAGTCTAGGACCTAGCACATAGCTTCCCTTCTTGGATGCCTCCAGTTCATCTGAAGCTTCTTCGGAAAGAGGCATGGCTCAGAGACGAAGCATTCATTTTGTCTCCCACTGAAGTGGCTTGGGTTAGTTGGCGGTTGGTGACGAGGTCTGTTGCTTACACTGAGAAGAGCTAAAGCTGTACAGGCAGCCATCGAATATGAGAAACAACGGCCCTGCAATCTGCAGATCTCTGCACGTCGATTTGATGTGGTGTTTAAGCCTGCAAACTCTGCCAGGACCCCAACCAATTCCAAATAATTGAGAAGTTCTTGCAAATTCTGGCAAGGATTGAAGGCAAGATTTCGTTCTACAAGGTGCAGCTTGTTTGGAAGCGGAGACTAAACGGCCAGATCGCAAAAGTGGAATAGCATGTGGCCAGGGCATAACAACCATCTCACTCAAACAGTTCTCTCTTCTAGATAGCTGAAACTGACGTTTGGGCGGATGAACATGCTGGCTGCATGTATTGCACGCATGTCAATCCAACCGAATTATACAAAGGCGTAAACGACATCTCAGACCTCGAGATCGGCTGCAAAAGCCTTTTTCCACGCTGGCATTCTGGGTCCACTATCTGCACCATGGGCCACCCTCCGACCGTCTTGGCCTAGTACATCTGCTCTGAGAAGTGTCTACAGAGCTCAAAGGCCCGGATCACGCAGCTCTTTGACCCTTGACCATTGAGAAGTCCGCCTTCAAGCCATC